TAACGATGTCAACCTTTTGACTATATTTTATGTGTTTTCCCGCCCTCATTATGAAAGAAAATGTGTTATTGCTCAAATGGCTTGTATCATGTCTTGCTAGAATATTGACTAAGAACAAGTACAGTTACCTGGATAATATGAAGTCTCCTCATCATCTGATCGTTACTACTAAACTTCTGAGTAGAGACGGTGGCTTGGTAAATGTTGTATACCAAACAGCAGAACCACTTAGATTGCGCTATTATACAATACTGGAACATAAACCCTGTGTGATTAGAAGTTAACATCATAGAACATACTTCATATTTAATATTTAGTAAGATAATTACTTGACAATTACTTGATAATTAGTGTTTAATTGATGGAACTTTAATTTGAGTTTGTTTAAATAAAATGACGGATAATACAGTTTAGTAGTCAGAAATAACTGAAGGCTTGCTGATATCTCAATATTTACCCTGAATTGTACAGAAAAGTGAGCCACTGTATTCGTCCTGTCGTATGATATACATCTGGGAGCAGTAGATATGTGTCCCCACAATAACAGGAATTCCAACAATCCACACACTGGTCATACTGCACATGCTGATGTAGATCGGGATCACGTGCGGAAACTTCTTCCTGTCAACATAAGATGTTGAATTATTATTGTCAACATGAGAAGTTGAATTATTGTCAACATGAGATGTTGAATTATTGTCAACATAAGATGTTGAATTATGTTGAAATATTTTGAATTATTCACAGAAAGTAAAAGATATGTTGATTTTTGTGACCAACAACAAATTTTCATATATTTTAAAATAATAGATTTAGTGGTCCGCTCTTTGACAGCCCTGTGGGTTGTGACTGGTCTCCATGACTACAGTTATTATAAGTGTTGTGGCACAGATACGTTATATTATTATACCATCACGCAGGATGGGCCAGTGTTGCAGTTTTAAAGCCGGATTTTCTCTTGTCTTCGTTTCGTGACGAACTTGAGCTGTTTATTTTCTGTTTTGTACTAGCCAAACAACGATCTTTGATCGTATCAAGAGGTTCTTTACGCAGAAAGGTGTATCTTTCTATTTAAGGGGGGGGGGCCAATGGATATTTTTTTGTGAAACTTGATTTCGAGATAGCAGTTGACCAACAAACTAAGACCAGTGACCGAACTTTTGAGGGGGTCCCGGACCCCAACCGCCAAACGGTGCCCGCGGGGCAGCCACGCCCATATTTGGTCCAAATTAGGCCCAATTTAGCCAAATACCCTGAGCATGCCCAAAACCCAAATTTTAGGTGCTCTACTTGTAGCTAGTGGTCTCCTGAACTCGTATATGAAATTTCATCAAGATTGGACAAAAAATGACTGAGTTATGAGCCAAAAACCATATGCCCATATTTGGGCATACGCACCAAATTTGGTAGATTTTGTCCCATAAATTGGTCAAATATCAATATTTTTCACTGAAACTTACTTTATATGAAAGGTAAGCCTAAACTACATATTCTCTGTAAGTTATAGCTTTATATCTGTTTAAATGTGGATACTAAGGCGAAAAGACCACACAAAATGAACTAAATTGCCCATATCTTGGTTCGCGATATTCGCGGAATTGATCTCATTAAAATTGTAACAACTCAATCAGTTTTCAAAATTTTTCCATGAAATTTTCGGAATCGACTCGAAATCGCATTTCCACCTTAGTTTGAGAACAGATTTTTGATTAAGGCCTCAAAAAAAATTTGGCGGCCAAATTCTGAATTTCTCCGGGAAAATTTTGGAATTTGGCCGCCAAATTTTTTTGGAGGCCTAAATCAAAAATCTGTTCTCAAACTAAGGTGTAAATACGATTTCGAGTCGATTCCGAAAATTTCATGGAAAAATTTTGAAAACTGATCGAGTTGTTACGATTTTAATGAGATCAATTCCGCGAATATCGCGAACCAAGATATGGGCAATTTAGTTCATTTTTTGTGGTCTTTTCGCCTTAGTATCCACATTTAAACAGATATAAAGCTATAACTTACAGAGAATATGTAGTTTAGGCTTACCTTTCATATAAAGTAAGTTTCAGTGAAAAATATTGATATTTGACCAATTTATGGGACGAAATCTACCAAATTTGGTGCGTATGCCCAAATATGGGCATATGGTTTTTGGCTCATAACTCAGTCATTTTTTGTCCAATCTTGATGAAATTTCATATACGAGTTCAGGAGACCACTAGCTACAAGTAGAGCACCTAAAATTTGGGTTTTGGGCATGTTCAGGGTATTTGGCTAAATTGGGCCTAATTTGGACCAAATATGGGCGTGGCTGCCCCGCAGGCACCGTTTGGCGGTTAGGGTCCGGGACCCCCTCAAAAGTTCGGTCACTGGTCCTAGTTTGTTGGTCAACTGCTATCTCGAAATCAAGTTTCACAAAAAAATATCCATTGGCCCCCCCCCTTAATCTTGTATAACTATATAAAATATATATAACTATATAAACTTTCGTTTTCATTTTATAGTTTCTTCTCCGTCAACTAACTTGTTTCATTTACACCATTTGACACGCCCTGTCGTTAGTGTTGCGTGAGCCGGATTAAGTAACACAAAATCCAGAAAACTAAGTTTTTCTATAAGAAGTGGCTCACGATAACAAAGAAAAGTTAGCATAATATAAAGTAACATGATATGAGGTTTTAATAGACACATTCTCTACCTCGTGTCACGTTTTCATTCGTATATTATATATATTGTAATCATTAATCATATACTTCATAGTGAAATAGCTACTGTAACATAGCACGAGACAGCATGGAGTAGAACTCTAAAGTTCTATAGAACGCATGAGTCCAGGTTACTCTGACTTTGTTCTTTCATAAAATACTTACTTCGTGATTATAATATTATATGCAATATCTTGAGATCTTGAGGTTGTTGAATGTTGATCGCTATTTCGGTAATTTCTTAATTCCTTACCTTCTTGTACTATAAACCGTTTTTTTTTTGTACTTTTTGGCATCTTCTGCGGCGGCGCATTCCTAATTAATCCGTTATTCACGTTACTATAGCTCTGGTTTATAACCGTACGAAAGTTTACGCGATATACATATAGATCAAAAGTGACTCACAGTGTGCTGATAATACCTTGGCTTCTCCTGCGGGAAATATCTGCAAATTATCAGCTCTCAGTGTCCTCGAGTTTTAGTGCATATAATTCCCGGAAATAGTTATACATTGTATAATTGTCACTGAATTTATGTTTATTGCCAAGTTAGATTTTGGCATGAAACCATAGTATAGCCTCACAACAAATGTTGCACCCCGTGAATCTGTGTGCGTCAGCTGAGCATGCAAATAACTGATAAGGAAACTTGATAATGCTGAATAATGTAATAACTTTGTGTGTAACTGCATGATAACGAGTCATAGCGTGATGTAATTACGAATAATATGATGAATATTTTCAGCCAATTATGTGTATGGGTTACCTGAGCATGTAAAAAACTTATTAGAAAACCTAATCACGTGTAATTACGAATAATATAATGAATGCATAATAAAGTTATGTTTAACGAACGTTAATTGAGACGCTTAAAGTATTGTTGTTCATTTCTTATTATTTCATGTTAGGGTTATGTGACCTTATAAGATGATGTATGCTGTCATAACATTCCAAGGTTAACTTCGTAACACAATACTGTGAGCTTTGTCTACATTCCCGTTTGGCTGGCAGAAGCACTGGCAGTGTTCAGCGCGGCTCTTCTATATCATGAGCACAGCACAAATCACACTTGTAATATTCGTTAGGTATCAGTTTTGCAGTCTAGTTGATAAGTGTTATTTTTATGTACTGTACTATTTCACCTTCCGAAAACTGAATATTTTCACTGTTATGAAATTCCTTCGCCGACTTTATACTGTGATATTAATAACTATGCTAGAAACCCTTAAATAAACTTGCTAGAAACCCTTGCAGTTTTCAACTTTGTATTTTGTGTTACCCTGTCTTTTATCTTTACTTTCTCTTTATTCGTTGTTTATTGTTCTCTCCTCGGATCTATTCCGTCCTTATTTTGGGAATTGTTAATTTCTCAAACCATTCACCATCTCAAGTCACAAAATATTTCTTAGACATAGAAGGTTCTTTAGAATACTCTGATTTTATATAACCAGTTTACCAACAAACTAGGACCTGTGAGCAAACCTTTAAGAAAACTAGAACACGGACCCCGGGCGCCCACCAGTGCATGTGGATTGTGGGGCAGCCATGACCATATTTATTATTTGGGTTAAATTTTGACTAAATTGTGCCAGATCACCTAAAAATGCCCAAAACTAAGCTTTGTGGTGCTTTACTTGAAGCTACTAATCTCTTGAACAAGTATCTAAAGTTTTATCCAATTTGGACAAAAATTAGCTGAGCCAAAAACTATATAACCATACTTGGTCACAGGTCCTAGTTTTTGAGGACGATGATTAAACACTCTACACGGAACAAGCAGGCATGTTGAATTGAAACCGATACTCTTCATGTTCGAAGCATTGCATGCTCGGCGCACATCCTTGGACACGAGAACCAGCCCATTTTGGACCCGGCTAACGTCCGTTATGTGAACACATGCCGAGAGCTCGGCTCTCGGCATGTGTTCACATATGAACACATGCTCTCGGAGAGCTCAAACACTTCTTAATATACTTCATAATACACAGCTACTTACTAAACTGTCATGTGAACCCTACCCAGGTTCATAGGATGGTTATACTATGGATCACATCAATTTCAAGTTTAATTCCAGTTTAATTCCAGTTTAATTCCAGTTTAATTCCAGTTTAATTCCAGTTTAATTCCATCACAAATGATACGTCACTGATTGGGCCATGTGATGTGATACCTGTGGGAGGCCGGAATGAGAGGTTCCTAGTTGTCGGTCACCGATCTTCTTTATATCGTCCTTATAATATCACGTGATCGAGAGAGAGTGTTTCGCCAATATCTTGCCATTAAACTTAAAAATCTCTATAGGTATCGAGTCAGTCGATAAAAAATGTCACAAAGTTACGGAGGAGAAGACAGGATTCTTTCATCAGATCCAGGACCGTCGACCAGAAATCAGATCTGTGAGGTATGTGATGAGAGAGGTCACTCTGATGAAACATGTCCGTTGGTAGTTAAAGCCAAATATAACTACGAAGCACATCGAAGTAAAGCAACCATTAAATTTGAACATGAAACATCTATTTCTGCGATAGTCACAACACCAGGGACAGAAATTGCAAAACAGTGCAAAAAGTGCAAGAAGGCCGGAATCGGAGCGAACAAAAACGGTCGTAAATGGAACGAAGTATGCTCATGCTCAAAACCATCACCAGAAATAAAGCCAATTAAAGGATTCAACGAGCTCAATCTCGATGAAAATATGCAATTAAACATTGTCGGCAGGAGTCGGTGTGGCTTCAAAGTTCCCACCCCGATCCAACGATACGCCCTACCTATTATTATAAAGGGATTTGATGTAATGGGCTGTGCTCAAACAGGAACAGGAAAGACTGCAGCATACCTTATTCCAATGATAAAGTTAGTCAAAGAAAGGGGCTTCAGGAAAGTACAAGTGGGATGGGATGAACCTCAGAAGCCAGAGGTTCTGATAATCGCTCCTACTCGCGAATTAGCCCAACAGATTCACGAAGAAGCTCTTAAGCTCACATTGAATGTGAGACCTCCTTTTGGGATCAAAGTCGTATACGGAGGAGCAAAAACAAAGTTCCAACGTAGTAAAATCAGGCAAGGCTGCAACATATTGATTGGAACTCCGGGTAGAATAAAACATTTCATCGACGACTACACAATAAGCTTGGAGAATACAGAGTTCCTGGTTCTAGACGAAGCTGATAAAATGATCGACGATGGTTTCCGGTCAGACATAGACGAAATTGTCAGACTTACTGATATGCCAGAAAAAGAAGATCGCCAGACTCTCATGTTCAGTGCAACTTTCAGATCAGATCTCCAAGAACTAGCAGCCGCCTCCATGAGAGAAGATTTTAGATTGATCGAAGCGGGCGTAATTGGATCGGCACAGCCAAATATTACACAGAATTTTGAATTTGTGGAAACAGCTGCTCAAAAACCAAGTATGCTTAACCAAATTCTGCTGGATATTCAATGCTGGAACGAGTTAACTTTTCTTGAATGCAGCTGCTGGAAAAAGGAGCGAAATGAATTCAATACAGCTGCAGGTAGTGATCAGCCAAACATAGGACTCTTCCTTTTGCATGTCTTAGGTAAATGTTCCCAAGAAAAGATTCTCATCTTCGTTGAGACCAAATCAAAAGCCCAGCAACTTGCAGACTCTATTTCTGAACATCTTTACAGAAACTTTAGAGCTCGTTTCATGACAAAGAAAAAGTTTAAACATTTTTACAACGATGGTGATGATCAAGATCTTATCGAAAATTTTGGAGCTATAAGTTTTCATGCTGATAAAGATCAGTATAACCGTGAAACAGCTTTGTCTTTATTCAACAGAGGAGTTTATCCTATTCTAGTGGCAACAAATGTAGCAGCAAGAGGACTCGATATAGAAGGAGTAACCTATGTGATCAACTACGACCTTCCAATGAACCTTAGCGACCTTGGAAAGTACCAGAAGATCGACACAAAAGCTCTGAAAGATAGAGAAATAAAAGAGAGACCAGTCCGAAATCAGTTTGAGGAATACATACACAGAATTGGGCGAACTGGCCGAGCAGGCAAAAAAGGAGAATCAATTTCATTCTTCCAGTTAGATAAAGATCGTCATTTAGCCGAACCCTTCAGACACATGTTAGCGGAAGCCGAACAGAGTGTTCCTGAGTGGCTTGGAGAAATAGCCGACAGTGAATGGTCTATTCGGAATGCTAGAAGAAAGAAAAACGCAAGTGAAAGACCAGCACCATCAGCAGTTGCGGGATTGTCACGAGGTCCTGTCGCAAAAGAATGGGATGATTCAAACGGGCCCTGCAGTGATGAACTCTGGAAAAAAGAACCTTAAACTTGTGATTGTGCCAATGTGCCTGATAGTTCGATAAACTGTCTTCATATTAACACAAATCATCTGATATGATAAGAACTAATAAACTGTTTCGATGCCTTTAATTCAAGAGCAGTTGATAGAGTAGCCGTTAATTATTACTTAATTTGATTTACTGTTCATACAATTAATAAAACTGTTAGTTAATTGTGTTTAAAGAAATTAGAATAAATATTAACCATCTTCTTTTCAAACATTTATTGGTTTATTTATCCGCATGCACTGATATTTTTTTTTTTATCAAGACACTTATTTTACTTCGGTGTATTCCAACAGCCACATTGTTACACAAGTGCAACCAGCCAATTACAGGAAGCCGAAGGATCTTTTTGGCCAGTGACGGTTAAGGTAGTGTGTACCATACTTTCTTCGCCCGAGACTTTGCTGCAATGTGCAGCTCCTCATTTAACCCTCACACCCGATTTCTCGAGTATTCGGCTGAGTAGACCGGGGGGCTGCATAGACCACTCATGATCCTTAGCTGAACGTCGACGACGCTCACCCCACTCGACGACGCTCACCCCACAAAAAATATAATTCAGATATAAACTGGAAATCTACTCTATTAGCCAAAATGGTTCCATAAGCATTCAGTTGACCGGAAATACGCTTTAAAACGAACTAGGAAAGAGACTTAAGTCAGTGGTTTCTTATTAGCAATAATCGAAAAGCAATAAAAAATTATCAAATCCACTGACTCATAGGTAAGTGCCGACATAATAGGTATCTAGTAATTCGATAAAACATGTCACAAGGTTATGGAGGAGAAGATAGGATTATTGCATCAGATCCAGTATCATCTTAAGTTCTTTCTTATTATTATTTGAGAAGCTGAGTTTTTATTATATTTTTCATTTCTTAGAGAGTTAGATTATGGTACCTGATAAAAGATGTTGATACTCGATATGTTAATTTTATCAGATAATACGGTAAGGTAATACAGCATAATTTGCTTTATCATTGTCTTATGATATTTGTTAAAAATCTTTAATATTTACACTGTTAATATGAGGTTTCCTCGCCGTCTTTATATTGTGATATACAATATTGTAAATAACTATATTAGAAACCCTTGTATGAACTTAACTTTGTATCAAATTTCCCCTGGTTTTATCTTTACCTCCCATTTGTTCATTGTTATCTTTAATCCTTAATTTGTGATTTCTTAATACGGATTCTGCAAATAACCTTTTGTCTTAAATTACATTTTTACGTAAAAAATAGGGTGACTGACAACCTCCCGCTTTTCATATCCCTTTACAATAAAACCCTGATTTACCGCTGAGTTTGGGGAAACATCCGCAGTAAATCGTGTTTTGGTAAATCGGGGTTTTACTGCACAATACAAATATCACAAAGTAATTACCAATTAACGACCCATCTTACTTCAATAGTTATGTATCCAAAAGTGTAGGTATCGAGTGAATAAAACATGTCACAAAGTTATGAAGAAGAAGAAAGGATTCTTCCATCAGAACCGGGACCATCGACTAGAAAACGGATCTGTAACGTATGCAAAGGAAGAGGTCATTCTGTTGAAAAATGCCCGTTGGTAGTTAGATGGAAACATAAATATGAACCACACCGAAGTAAAGCGACCATTGTTGTTCCTGTGATAGACACAACACCAGAGACATATTGCGAACAGGGATTGTCAGGTGGTGCTGTCGCAAAAGAATGGGATAACTCTAACGGACCCTGTGTTGATGAACTTTGGGGAAATGAACCGGAGTTCCTGGTTCTTAACGAAGCTGATAAAATGCTAGACGATGTAGAAGAAAATGCTGAACTTACTGAAATGACAATAAAAATATACCACGAGACTCTCGTATTCAGTGCGAATTTCAGATCAGATCTAAAAGAATTACTCACTTTGGCAAAGCCAAATATGACACAGAGTTTTAAATTTGTAAAAATAGCTGCTCAAAAAAAAGGTTTGCTTAAACAAATTTTGTTGGCTATTAGATTAGATAGATTAGATTTGAAAAATTTTCAAAACGGTATATACAAATCAACAGGATTATAAAACATAAAAATAAAAACCGCTTTGTCGGCAAATGCCAGGGCCCTAACAATCCACTCAAAAAAAATTCAAAACAGGACCCAGAAGCTTGTAAGCCACTGGTCAAAAAAAAAGTGAAATCTAATTAAATAAAGATTTTGTTCAAAAATCAAATAAAATCAAAATTACGCGACCAAAATTCAAAAACTCTCATAAATGTGAAAATCTTAGTATCAATCAATATCCATGATCAGAATAATTGAGGAAAAACGCGAAAATCACATACATTACTGTATTACAACAGATGTCAAAAATTGTTATTAACAGAGATCCAATGTGTCCATAATAAAATAATAAAGTTCAACTAGCTTCCCAATCAAAAGGTAGTCAAGACAGGGTAACTAGAGTAGTAGGCAGTAACTTAGTAGTAATAGCAGAGTAGGGATAAATTTGCTATCAGTGAGAAAGATGAGGGAATAGTCAGCATCAGGATGCAGAGAGTTTTCCCGTATGTGTCCATGCTTTAGTTGTAGTGTCAAAGTTGTGACTTCCAGTAAGATCAGGTAATCTGGTGATCTTAAACCCGAGCATCTCGAACCCCGTTTGACTCTTCTCGCCCGGTGTCGCACAATACATGTACTGTGCGACACCAAGTGAGAAAAGCAGCTGAAATAAGGTTACGGAAAATGGGGGGGTTATCAAACCCCCACATAGTAAAGAAACGGGGCGTTTAATGAGGGGGAAGTGTTGGAGCTATGCCCCTCAGGGGGTAATTTAAGATTCAAAATAGAACATTAAGCAAGGTAAAACAGCTAAAAACGCAGCTCAAATGATCACACACACTGAATAAGAATTGTCACAAATTGAACATGAACATGCACATGCAATCGGAATTACCCAGCTTGAATAAGAATCTAAAAAATGTCCAATTTGAACATGTAAATGTACATGCAGTCACATGCCAAAATATCAAAAACATGCAATATGGTAACAACATGCATGGTGTTAACGTGTAACTGAGTATGACTCGGGGTTCTTAGATGCAGTGACAAAAAATGTTTGCGCATCAAGATTGGATGGTTCCCATGTGTTATTTGAACCATTAGATTGGTACATGAGAATGAACTGCTTAATATTGTTCTTGAAGGATGAAATTGTGGTGATATTTCTAGTGAGATAACTTGAGTTGTTAACAGCATTCCAGATTCTGGGAACAGCGTATAACATGTTGTGCATATTATCTTTATAATACACTCTAGGACAAATAAGCCGTTTATCGTTTACAGCTGAAGTTTGAAAGTGTTTTCTTAGTAACGTTGGGTAACCACCAGCATGCACTACCTGAAATCCCTCAGTGAGAATAAATTTATGATAAAGTCCATACACGGTAAGCACTTTGTTTTCACTGAAAACACGCTTCGTATTTCCTTGCTGATGTTTGTTAACTCTGCGAATCCCGAACACATTTCTCAATGCCTTTTTTTGATTGATAAAAAGTTTATTCAACTTATTAGTTGCTGTGCTGCTTCCCCAAACCGTGATCCCGTAGGAAAGATGCGACTGTACGAGTGCATTAAAAATAGCAATTCTTAACATTTTAGGGGCGGTTTTACGAAGTTGATAAAGCACACCATTAACTTTGGAAACCTTCTTCCCGATATAGTTTATATGATCTGACCAATTTAGCGACTCCTCAATAAACACCCCTAGAAACTTGATACATTTAACTCGCTGTAAATTGTAGCCATCATAGGTCAAAGTATAATTATCAGCCTCAAGATTAGGCTTCGAGCGAGGTGTTCTGAAGAGCATGAATTTAGATTTAGTAAGATTAATATGAAGGTAGTTGGCATCAATATAAGATTTAAGATTGCAAAGATTATTATTATTATTCAGTCTTGGAACGAGCTAACATTTTTTACTTGCACCTGCAGGAATAATGAACATAATGGATCCAACAGAGCTCGACGTAGTCGTCAGCCAAATATTGGGCACTACCTCGTTCATGTTTTAGGCAAATGTGCCAAGGAGAAAATCATAATCTTCGTTGAGACGAAGAAGGAAGCCGAGGAACTAGCAGACTCTATTTCTTATTATCTTCATAGCATCTTTAGAGCTCGTTTCATGACAAAGCAAAAGTTTAAAAATTTGTTCAGGGATGGTGATGATCAAGATTTATTCTCAAATTTCGGAGCTATAAGTTTTCATGCCAATCAAAACCAGCCTGAGCGTGAACAAGCTTTGTCCTTATTCAACAGAGGAGTTTATCCTATTATAGTGGCAACAAATGTAGCAGCAAGAGGACTTGATATAGAAGGAGTAACCTATGTGATCAACTACGACCTTCCTATGAATCTGAGTGTTCTAGAAAAGTACCATGAGATCGATATACCGGCTCTAAATGAGGAAGAAATAAAGCAGAGTCCCGTTCAAAATCGGTTTGAGGAATACATACAAAGAATTAAATGGACTGGCCGGGCAGACAAAGAAGAATCAATTTTGTCCTTTAAGTTAGATACAAATCATCGTCTAGCCGAATCCATAGGAGAAATGTTGGTAGAAACCGACCAGAATGTTCCAGTGTGGCTTGAGAGAGTCGCCGATAGCGAATGGTCCATTAGGAATGCAAGAAAAAAGAAAAACTTACGTCAACAACAAGTGGGATCAGAAGTTGAGGGATTTTTGGGTTTTAATTCCAAAGAATGGGACGATTCTAATGGTCCCTGCGTTGACGAACTTTGGGGAAACGGAGAATTGGCTGCCGCCTCCACGATAGGAAATTTTAGGTTGAGTGAAGCAGGTGTAATTGGATCGGCTCAGTCAAATGTTACACAGAATTTTGAATTTGTTGAAGTAGCTGTCCAAAAAGAAAGTAGGCTTAAGGAAATTCTGCTGGATATTCATTCCTGGAACGAGTTAACATTTCTCAACTGCAATTGCTGGAAAAAGGAGCGGAATGGATACAACTCAGCTACAGGTAGTGATCAGCCAAACATAAAGCACTTCTTATTGCATGTCCTTGGCAAATGTGCCAAAGAGAAGATTCTCATCTTCGTTGAGACGAAAAAAGAAGCCCATAAAATAGCAGACTCTATTTCTGAACATCTTTACAGAAATTTTAGAGGTCGTTTCATGACAAAGAAAAATTTTAAACTTTTGTACAACGATGGTGATGATCAAGATCTTATCGAAAATTTCGGAGCTATAAGTTTTCATGCTGATAAAGATCAGTATAACCGTGAAACAGCTTTGTCTTTATTCAACGAAGGAGTTTACCCAATTTTGGTTGCAGCAAACGTGGCAGCAAGAGAACCCGATATCAAAGGAGTGACTTATGTGATCAACTATCATCTTAATGTTTTAGAAAATTACCAGACAATTAGCACACAAGTTCTCAAAGACGTGGAAGTAAAGCAGGGACTAGTCCGAAATCAGTTTGAAGAATACATACGTCGAATTGGACGGGCGGGCAAAAAAGGACACTCCATTTCCTTCTTCCAGTTAGATAAAGATCGTCATTTAGCTGAACCCATCAGAGACATGTTAGGAGATGCCCAACAAAATGTTCCTAAATGGCTTGAAAGAATAGCCGACAGCGAATTTTCTATTCGGAATGCGAGAGAAAAAGAAAGGAAAAAAAGAGTAAAGGAAGTGCGAGAAATGCGAGAAAAAGAAAAAAACGAGCGGGATCAGCATGAGAGGGATTCTCTAATAAATCGTCCGATTCTAATGGACCCTACGTTTATGTACTATGGCATGGGGAAATGGAACCTAGCTAGATAAGCGACTGTGCCTGAAATTTTGATAAAACGTCTCCAGACACATTATCTGATATGATAACAACTGATAAATTGTTTCCGAGCAACATTGATATTAGATTATCATCATGTAATATCATGATTTTCATTCGTGGTTTATTCAATCTATTAAATTGGGTAGAAATTGCCAGTTATAATTTAGGCTCAAGCCTCTAATTCCAGAGAAGTTGATGAAGTAGTCATTTAGTATGATTATTGTTTGCTTTAATTTATTGTACATAATTGACTTGAAATTGACTATATTAGCCTAAATGGCTCCATAAGCATTCTGTTTACCAGAAACAAGCTTTAAAACGAACTAGGAAAGAGCCTTAAGTCAGTGTACCAAAGTTTAAGTTTATTTCTCAATTCAAGCCCGATTGAGTTCTGTTTGATATAAATTGATGATCAACATTCATTCGAGAAATATTTCAAAATAAACAATAATGATGTTCATTTTTTACGACTGAAGGTTCATTATTGCATTTTTCTCTAAGAAATCCATCATAGTAAGTGATATCATAATTCACAGACGGATTCTTCAGCTGACAGCTCGTGTCACGTGTAAATCATATGATCTTAAGTAAAGTTCAAGTATCATAGCGTAAGTCCACCTGGAGCATGATGATAAGGGTCTAAATCCAGGTCACTTCAACTATGTTCTTGAAATTGCCTCTTCTTACTCAGTTGATAAATGTACGGTCTACAGAGTCTACTTTACTGGCTTCAAAAGAGCCCAAACTCTGTGCTCCACAAGGGACAGTTTACCTCATCTACTGTCATAACAGTATAATGTACTAATATATAACATGTATATTTGCAGACTCCTTCAATATTGAGCTGCCTGATAAGAGGTTTTGAAATATGCACATATAACCTAGCAGTGTGGTTGTGTGACCACGAATGAGCAAATACCCGGCGTTTCTAAGCTACCTGGGGAGGGAGCTTTTTGTTGTTGCATTATTTGGCACCATTCCCACACTTTTGGTAGTGAGGTCCTATGCGACATTGATCTGTAGCTTTAACAAGGTCAACAGTTAACACCTGCCTACGCCCTACATTAACACATCCGGTCTTGTGATGACATGTCACAACACAGTTACCATTAATAGAATCAATCGGTGTACTCAAGTACTCAAAGTTCAATTCAGACCAATAAGTCGGCACTTACCTTACTGTACATGTATCATGTGACTACATCCCTGGTCATTGATTGCAGGAATATTAGCTTGAGATTCATAGATATTTTACATCTGTAACTATAGTAACTAAGTATCTGTAACTAGAGTAACTGAGCAGATTAAATTAAATATTAGAAATATTCCGAAGATATTATTCTATTCCGTTGTTTTACAGTTTGTAGAGGAATGTTACTGTATCACACATGAATCAGTGTGCGAGAGTATGTAAACAACTCATTTGTAAAGTTAATACTATGCTGTAACTATGCTGTAATTTAGTTATTTAAGTAACTTATTTAAGTAGCTTATCGAATAAAGAACTGCTGTTGTTAATTTCTTACAGTTATGATACGTTATGTTGACATAACCTGTTCGGATAACTCCCCCTCACATTTCTATAAGCTGAGCGTTGTAAGAATCTCTGTTCGGCTAGCAAAGTAGCTGACATTATGCTATTATGCTATAATATGTACTATGTAAGCGCTGCTCTGCCAGCTGAACAAAGGATAGAAAATCTGCTTTTCATTTTTCAGTTTCAATTGGTTATATCGTTGGTGATCCAATTTGCTCCCCGTATGGTCATGCTTTCATGTTTTTATACTGTCAGTGATGATAGATATTTGGTTTTTGCTATCTTGAAAGTTTTAATGTAAATTGCGCGTTATAATTGTCACTGAATTTCTGTTTATTGCCAAGTTAGATTTTGGCATGAAACCATAGTATAGCCTCACAACAAATGTTGCACCCCGTGAATCTGTGTGCGTCAGCTGAGCATGCAAATAACTGATAAGGAAACTTGATGATGCTGAATAATGTAATAACGTTGTGTATAACTGCATAATAACGAGTCATAGCGTGATGCAATTACGAATAATATGATGAATATTATCAGTCAAGTATGTGTATGGGTTACCTGAGCATGTAAACTGTAAAGTGTAAACAACTTATTAGAAAACATAATAACGTGATGTAATTACGAATAATATAATGAATACATAACAAAGTTATGTTTAACGAACGTTAATTGAGACGCTTAAAGTATTGTTGTTCATTTCTTATTATTTCATGTTAAGGTTATTTGACCTTATAAGATGATGTATGCTGCCATAACATTCCAAGGTTAACTTCGTAACACAATACTGTAAGCTTTGTCTACATTCCCGTTTGGCTGGCAGAAGCGCTGGTAGTGTGCAGCGCGGCTCTTCTACAAAGCACAGCACAGATCACTTTGGTAGTATTCGAGTATACCGTATACGTTACTTACCTGTATTTGTTGCTTCGTATCAGTATTTGTTGCATGTTGTATTGTCATGTAAATATCTACATTAATCGGGACCCCTTTTACTAATCTATGTAAGTTTGTATAATAAATAATTTATATTGTGTTCCCATGTCTTGAACATTATTCTCTTTTATCCGTATTTACTACTTTGTGATTTGATTATATAAATTTTGCAAAAATTCTATCGTCTCAAATTACATCTTTACATACATAAATAATAAATATAAAACAAGTTGAATATTATCATCTTACGACTCCTTCTAGACTATCTATTCTCCGTCCTTTTTATTTCAGCTTTTGTATACCTTACTCGGGAATATTATGACTGGGATAAAGTGGTGGGTTTTGGAAAATTCCGCCATATTTTTCCCGGTCATTAATTTTCCCAGTCATAAATTAACCCGCTATAATATTCCCGAGTAAGGTATGTGCCTTAATCGATGTATTTTCTTTCGCTGGATTGTGCCACTTCTCGTAATGGTTGATAGACATAACTAATGCCAAAATGTCTCTTATTTTACAAAGTATTGTACTTAGTTTATATTTGGCGAATCAGTGCTGTTCCGTGAACCCTTCCGCTTTGTCAAACTCTTCTTTGTTGCAGGACATTTCCGATAGTCGCCGGTTCATCTTTTGGGAGCTGGTTTGTGACTACAAAAGTCACGTGATCAAACAGCATACAATAGTTATACTATGTAAATGTCACGAATTATTAACCGATTAATAACCAACCAACTTACAGGTAGTTATATAAAACTATAGGCGTCGAGTAAATATGTCAAATCGTTATGGAGAAAAAGACAGAATTCCTCCAGAAGAGACGTTGCCGGTACCACAATCATCGAGATCATCGAGAAAATCGTCAAGAAAATACCAAAGATGTGAACAATGCGATCAAAAAGGTCATTCTCTTGACGAATGTTTGTTGGTAGTTAAAACAATGAACAGCTACGAAACCGACCGAAGCAAAGCGAAGATAAATTTTGAACTCCATAAATTCGTGCGTGTGCCAGTCACAACGCTAAGTCCTATGTGCGAAGACTGCAAGACTCGTCAAACTCAACAAAAAATGGACGGGATTGGAGCGGCAGAAATTTATGGTGAACGTAAAGAATGCTCATGTTTCAAACTGGTAAAAGTTTTACCCAAAACCGAGCCAATTAAAGAATTCGGCGAACTCAATCTCGATAAACAGGTGCAATTAAACATTGTCGGTAAGACTCAGTGTGGCTTCAAAGTGCCCACCCCGATCCAACGATATGCCTTACCCATTATTATCGAAGGATTTGATGTAATGGGCTGTGCTCAAACAGGAACCGGAAAGACTGCAGCATACCTTATTCCAATGATAAAGTTTGTAAAAGACAAAGGCTTCAAAAAGAAAAGGGTAGGATGGGATGAACCTCAGAAGCCAGAAGTTCTGATAATCGCTCCTACTCGTGAATTAGCCCAACAGATTCACGCTGATGCAATAAAGCTCCGT